GGAGTCCCAGATTTTCAGAGGGTTATTCTGAAGAGCAGCAACGTGGTATAGCCCAGGGAAGAGGAAAGAATCGATATTTTTGGGTTTCTTAGGGCCCAGAATGAACGCACCCGGAAGCACGTACCGCTTCTTGTACCGAACGTCGGGCGCCAAATCGAAGAGAACCCAGATGTATATCCAGCAGTCAGACTGTTTGGATTCATAGAGCTGCGCGCCGTCAAGAGAGAGCATCAAAACCAGGTCATCTTCCAGAAAAGTCCCAGCGTCGACCAGTCTCAGATAGTCCTCAGCAAAGAATACGTCCTCAGCGACCTCGACCATCTTCTGGGCATTGGCCATTTCCAACAGGCGCGCCATCAGTCCCTCGCGATGGTGCATACGTTTGGCACACTGACGCGACCGGTAGAGGGCCTGAAGTTGAGGGCCTAACGGATGTGTCTGGAACGTCCGTCGCGCGACGCGTTTGTTGCCGCGCGTCTCGTAGCGCATTTCGGTGCAGTCTTTGTCCGGACAGCGGTCCAGATGGGCGTACGGGCCTGTATATGCTACGCAGGTCTGGGGGCACATATCAGTAACGATGGGGACAACACCGCTGAGTTCTTGTACGAGGTTTTGCATCGCCTCGTAAGTCGGGAGTACGAGCCCCTTGCTATAGTCCATCACCGCGGCCCTGTTGTCGCGATATGCCTTCTCCGAATATCCATTTATCACGAATTGCTTGAGCGCGAGGCGCAGTTCATCATTTTCGGGCGCCAGCAGGTCCGGTAGATCAGCGTCGCCCTCGGGGTGATGCATGCGATGTATGATTTTGGGATCCAGGCCAGATTGGTCGAGTGATGCGTTTTTGAGAGCCTTGATGAACCCGATGGCGTCCTTCAATTCTTGCAACGTAGGCTCGGGGAGCACTCCCGTGGGGTCGTGATTCCCAAATTCTGGCCCGTCGTCGGCCTGCTCCTCACCTTGCTCAGTAGCTTGCTCGTGTGCGGGGCCCTCCGGCCGGGGAGGCTCAGCGGAAAGAGCGCGTGGAGGCTCCGCGTCCATGTATTCGAACGGGAGCGCATGGTCCTATATATTTTCAAACAATAATGCATCAGCAACGTTGTTGAGCTGCACTCGTAGATTGCCTCTCCGCGGCCTGTCCGCAGAGATTCGTGCGGATAAACTCGCACGCGAGGGCTGCCTGATACCAGAAACTCGACGGCGTCACTCCGACGATCTTCGAGGCGCTCAAACACCAACCGCGTCCGGGGCAGGTATATGCGCCGAACGAGCTGGTGGTGCGTTCTCAACCGTGCGGACAACTCGATCATGTCCGCATAGTTCACTTGTTTACAAGAGGCGGCATGGAAAGCGCGCGTTTTTCGCTACACACGTGAAGGAGTACGATGCCTTGTAAGGCGGCGTGAGGTAGATGGTGCGGGTAGGCGAGCAGAGAGCGAGCAAGAGTTGTACTCATCACGAATCGTAGCTGTCGGTCCGCGCATGCTTGACAATGCAGCATGCGACACTCACCTCGTGCGAACCCTGGAGGTCTTCACCCAAGTCGGGTTGAGGAAGATCGCCGGTTCCCCCAGTGGGAGACGAGCCGCCGAGTCCAGTGTGCGGTTCCTTATATGCATCTTAGGGTGAGCATGTGCCCGGACATGTCCTGGACAGATCACCTACATGGACATGATGTGAACGCTTTTTTTTGCGAATCTGGGGAGCTCTTTGTTGTCGAGCTGAGTGGCCTGAGGGTCCGGCTGCGAGCGCGTTTGCAAGGGCCTGTTGCAATGGTTCGTTCCGGGCGGCCTCGTGGTTGTAGTACGTCCGCTCAGGGACTGGGCGCCGCTGGCCCCTGCAATACTTGATACATTCACAGAAGAATTCCCTTTTTTTCGACTGGCGCGAGCGTGGCATAACAGAGTCTGGCGGCGAGACAAGGTACGAGGATCCTGCGGAGGCCTTGGGCAGCCGGCTGAAATGACACGCGTGCTACGGGTATGGCGCAAAGCAAGTATTGTATTACACAGTTAGACACAGGCTAGAGACATTTCTAAGTCAGAGACAAATGGACGTCACCGCTGTCGAGACATGTCCGATCGAGGCACCGTCATGAGAGTCTAAGACGTGAATTGGGCGCCTACCGCCATCTGCCCAATCTGAACCGACAGCTCCCGACCTCAACCACTCTTCTACGACTTTCGCCGACCTAAAACAGCGGAGCCCATGTACGTTCTCACT